GGACGCATGGGGGAGCTGCTCAACATTGTGGACATGTTCTGTGATGATTNTGGGATGCGCCCAAATGTGTCGAAATGTGAACGCCTCGTTTTTGCAAGCGACAGCGGTACTAGAAGTGCTGTCCAAGCATCGTGTGATGAGCTCAGGCTGGCTGGAGAGGCCATACCGGCTAAGGATAGTGCACGATATCTGGGGTTAGTGTATGGGCCGGAACGGCAGTTCTGGGCCTGCCGTCAGCAGTTGTATGACACAGCTAGAGCAGCTATGTTCGCGTTGAGTGCAAAATTAGATAAGCTAAAGTTGTTCGCCCCAGATGTGAGGATGAGGTGTTTCGATACGCAGGTACGAGCAATACTGTTGTATGGTTGTCAAGCGTGGGGGCCGTTTATGCTAGCTGAGGTCTCGGACAGGCTCAGGAAGCGGAGTGATGCGAATAACCTTGCAGAGGGGCCCTTCGAGGCATGCCTAAAGGACAGAGCAGTGCAGCTTCAGATATCTTTCATGCGGCAAATTGTAGGAGCTGCCAGACCAACACACCGCCTCCTGTTCGCAGAGCTATCGCAGCTACCCCTACACTACCACGTTCTCAAGCAGGTTGTGAGGTTTTGGAACCATGTCCGTTTACAGCGTGGGTCTGTGGCATACCAAGTTTTACGACAGGAGGTCGCAGAATTCCTCTCCAACCCCGAAGGGGCCGGATGGGGGACACTACTCCTCCGTTTTCTATGTTTTTTGGGGCACGACGTATGGAAAGAGGCCCCGCAAGGGCTACACGAGGTAGACGAACGAATGGAGTGGCTGATGAACAGGCCAATGCCAGAAGGTGTGATTTTGGAGTTCAAGGACCGATTAGTGAGTGGTTGGAAGCATACGCGTTTAGATGTCCAGCCTGACGTGTATCCGTCAGACGGCAAGCAACCAGGAATCCACATGGCGAAGTATAAGCATTGGATGGGTCTGGCGGCCGAGCAAGCGGGCAGGAAGGAGGTGCTCCCGCATATCACAATGTTTATCCCACGTTCGGCGAATCGCACGCTTATGCAGTTTAGGCTTTGCTGTTGGGCACTGGCGGCTAACAGAGCGCGTAAGGGACGGCGCTATATACCTAGGGAGGAGCGAGTATGCCCTTGCTGCGGCACTGATAGCCATATCGAGGATGAGAAACACATTTTGCTGGACTGTCCGGTGTACGACGAAATCAGATCTGTTATGGGCTTTCCACGCTTCAAACATATGAAGGACGCTATGAAGTGGGAACCTGAACGCCTGGCAAGGATGCTGGAACGCATATGGTCTCACCGCAACTCTATCGTTCCCTTTGGTCGTTAGTATACTTCATCACTTGTCTCGTTGGAAGTGCGAGGTAGGATGGTGCTCATAGGCGATTTGGCAGCCCTTGAGCCCTCGGCTCGTACTAGGGTGGTTTGCAGGTACGGGGAACGCACCCACGACCATGTAACAACAACAAGTTTGGTGCATCATCATCATCATCATCATCATCATCATCATCATCATCATCATCATCATCATCATCATCATCCCGCTGGCCTGGGTGGCTTCCCTGGCGTCTTAACAACGAGTGTGTGCCTCCAAACGAATGGAAAAAATCGCATTAAGGGGGTGCACAGGGCACAGAGGCCCGAGGGCCGATGACACCATCCCCGTCCCCATGCTGTATGTACGTCTCATCTGTACAGTCCGTATCAACATATGCATGAAGTGGGCTCCGAAAATCCATGAAAAGTAGAGACGAAGTATTCTGAAGAGTTTATGAAAAGTGTACGAAGGGTGTACGACGTAGGGCCGTTACACGAGCATCGCTGCCTGCCTGGCCGCCTGCAATCTGCTGCACCACATTGCTTAAGAGCCCTCCTCGCCGAAAATGAAACCGCTGACTTGGCGTGACGCTCGCGCCCAAATGGCAAAGAGGTAATCAGCTAGCTGGCAGTCTGAAATTAATAAGGTAGTGCCACACAGCTGACCAAAAACTGCTCCCTGGAATGCGCAGCAAAGCCCTATATATAACAAGCCGAAAGCGAAAGTGTATGGAAGAAGCCCCGCTGCCGCACCTCAAGCGCTGCTATCAAGGCACTCCTCTGCAAACGACGTTCTAGGATTTTGCGATCTAGTATTAAATGGTACAGCAGCGGGGTTGGGAAGGCTACGCGCCCGGCGTGTCGCTTCTTCAAAATCACGCGTGCACCCGGTGGCAAGCCCAGAATTCCTTGAAGTGAAGACACCTCCACCTCCCAGCGGACATCCGAGAGGTTTGAAACCTCAGGTTTCCAAGTTGGGCGTTCCAGTGCGTGCACTTATTGCGCAGATTTCGTGAGTGTGTAAGCACCCTGTGTACAAATAAATGTCGACGCTGCGTCACCGCCTGCGTTTTTTTCACAGATAGAGTTGCGTGGTATGGACCTTGGGCTTTGAATTGATGAGTAGCTCAGTAGTGTAACTCAGTACTTCAAGCTTTACAATTTGGGCAGCGGCCTCAGCATTTTATCAATTACCGCTGGCCCGATGTATAACCCGCCACCACCCAGTTCCCTTCTGGCACCCGCCCGAGGGAAATCATTAAGGACCCGATTCTAATCCACTATCCACTCATCCACGCAGCAGCTGCACGACACCTCGGTCGCTTGCATCCACGCACACACCATGTACGGACGAATCATGCATTAAGCATCGATGTACGTCATCGTGTGTCTTTGAGCGGTACGTAGTACGCTACATTTACCTTTGAGCATATTTAGCTATTAAAGCTTAATCACAGTAGCGGCGCGGTATAGAAATAACGAGTCGCACTCGCTATTTTATTGTGCGGATCACCTTAAGTTAGTTACGATGTCGTATCGTGACGGTACGATCACCAACCAGATCACGGCGCCAGGAAGAGAGATAGCGGTAGGTGGGCTGCGCCTAAGGTACTCGGGGGGGGGTGCTTTGGCCGGGTACTTAAGTATTACTAAACCAGTGTTTGGGGTCCAAAACCCTGCCGTCACCGTCCCTTTCTTATGCCTTCCAACTCCTGCTATCCATATCGTTGTTCGCTTCTTCCGCTTCACCGTTCCTCTCGGACAAACTCCCATCTCTCGTCCGGCTGCCTGCGCGGCTAAGAGTCACCGCCCAAACGTCCTAAGTAGGGGGCCGCTACTACAGTGCAGGACAGGTGTTTCTTCTGTTGCCGCTCCTGTTTCAACAGGTGATCTTGACCACTCCATTGCAGCATCCTGCACGTGTACAAACCATGTCGAAAATTGATAGATAGATAGAAAAGGGGCGTAAATAATATAATATACAATTATGGCCATCAGCAGTAATAGTACAGTAATCCTGCACTCTGTATAGAACAGCATCAATCTGGCTATCTTGTCGGTAACGTAGGAACACGGAACTGAGGGGATCAAGATACTAGATATACATATACCCCGCCGGCGGACGGTCCCCTGTCCGCAACGCCGTACATCCTGACCGTTCCAGCGGACGCCTAGCGGACGGTCATGGAAACGATGGTCCAAAGCTCCAAAACATCTGTATGTAGATGATTCATGAGACGCTAATAATAAATGCTCCAGCTTGCACTCCTTGGCAAGCAATTAACGCGCAAAACACTCGCCAGGAGAAACTAACCCCAAAATTGTGACGCACATAGTCAAAAGGCTTCTAGCATAAAAGGAGAAAGCAATCGAAAGAAATAAGACAACATCCCAAGGCGCGCGGCGGACATTCTAATGACCTGTTTATGTAACCTGCTTAAATAACACCAACGCACTGGAATAATTGAATCATGCATTAAGGTCATTGCAATGGCCACAAGCACTGGGCATTAGTGAAAGGGATTCAGCAAAGACTGACCGTCACGCCCAACACGTCGTTCCATCCCTTTGTCGGCTCTGAATGGCACAATGAATGCTCTACTGGGTAAATGATCATTTGGCGGTGGAAAGAGGCCATTGTATGGCATCCGAGCTGGCGCACAGCTTGCGCATGTCCCCAAGACCCAACACGGCACCACGCCCCGCACCCGGTTACGCCCTTGTCCTGCATTCCACCTGCCAGCCTGTCTGTGCAACACAGCGCATGGCGGGCAGGCCAACGAAGCCATACCAAAGTTTCGTTCAAGACTGGGGTCCCAAGCTCTCAGAATCCCAGGCTGCCAGGCTCCGAGGCACATAGGCTCCCAGGCACACAGGCTCTTAGAATCCCAGGCTGCCAGGTTTCCAGGCTTACAGGCACACAGGCTCCCAGGCACACAGGCTCTTAGAATCCCAAGAATCCCAAGCACACAAGCTCTCAGAATCCCAGGCTTCCAGGTTCCCAGGCTCTCAGAATCCCA